CGCGGGGGGCACGGGCGCGGCCGGTCCGCACCGAGCGCGGCAGAGCCGAGCGCGGCGGGCACCCCCTTCCCCATCGGACGGTACCTGGATGGATGGATGGATGGACAGACGGCCGGACAGGCGGATGGAGGTCGGTCGGTGCCGGTGCCGGTGCCGCCTTTCTCCGGCGGCTCAGCCCGGCCCGCGAACGGCGGGAGGCGCCGCCCCCGCCCCTGTGTGGGGAACGGGGGATGGGGGCGCTGCGCCTGCGCGGGGCCGCCTCAGGCGGCGGCGGGCGGGGAGGGAGCGCGGTCAGCCCCGGTGAGGGGAGAAGGGGCGAGCGAGAGGAAAAGGGGCGAGTGAAGGGAAAAGGGGCGAGTGAGGGGAAAAGGGGCGAGTGAAGGGAAAAGGGGCGAGCGAGGGGAAAAGGGGCGAGCGAAGGGAAAAGGGGCGAGCGAGGGGAAAAGGGGCGAGCGAGGGGAAAAGGGGCGAGGGAGGGGAAAAGGGGCGAGCGAGGAGGAAAGGGGCGAGCGAAGGGAAAAGGGGCGAGCGAAGGGAAAAGGGGCGAGTGAAGGGAAGAGGGGCGAGTGAGGGGAAAAGGGGCGAGCGAAGGGAAAAGGGGCGAGTGAGGGGAAAAGGAAGCGAGGTGGAATGGCGGTGAGAAGGGGGAAAGAGGATGGATGAAGGGGAGTGATGGTGGGAAGGAGGCGAGTGAGGGGGTCTGGACGTGAGGGAGAAGAGGGATGGATGAGGGAAATGGGGATCAGTGAGGGGAAAAGGGGAATTGGTGGGAAAACGTTTAAAAAGGGGGATGGGGGAAAGGTGAATGGGGAAAAGGGAGAGGGGAAGGGGTAAGTGATGGCGGAAAGGGGGTAAGAGGGTGAAGGGAGAGTTAAGAGGGGTGGAATGGGTCAGGGAGGAAAGGGAATTAGAGGGAAATTGAGCAGCTGGGGGAGGAAAGGGGTGAGAGGAGGAAAAAGGGGATTAATGAGGGGAAAATGAAGGAGTGATGATGGGAAGGAGGTGAGTGAGGAGGAAAAGGGATGAATGAGGGGAGTAGGGATCAATGACGGAAAGGGAGGAGTGGCAGGAAAAGGTTTTAAAGGGGCAAAAAGTAAATGGGGAAAAGGGGGAAGGGGTGAGTGAGGGGGAGGAAAGGGAAGGAGGGAGAAAGGTGAGGAAGTGAAGGAAAAGGGGAAAAGGGCTGAGTAGGGAAGGGGTCTCTCCCTGTGTGTGTGAGATCCAGAAAAATGCACAAAGTACAGCTTAGCTGGGATCTCCCAAAGCTTCGGTGAGTGTAACGTCTCTTCAGGACAGCTTTATCAGGCAACAATAAAACCAGCGCCATTCTTTGACATCCTCCTCCCAAATGTGCGTGTTGGACACACACACAGGCTCTGGCACCTCCTGATAAGAAGCGTTGGATGTTTGGCAGTCACCAAGGCCACGTGCTCTGAACAGAATCTCATTTTTGTACCGGTTGGCCTGAACACCACGTCCAGCACTGGCACTGCCCAAGGCCTGTCCTGGTGTCAGCTGGGCTAGTGTTAATTTTGTCACTCTGCTGGAAATTTTCAGGTGCTCTGGGAAGGTTTGGTCTGTGCAGAAGATGGGATTTCCAAAAACAGAGTTCCCTGTGCCAGGATGGGTTTGCCTCCACTTCTGCTCAGTCACCACCAGCACATTTCATACCTTTTATATCTTTATTTATTTACTTGATTTCATGTGAAATAACCTGGTCAAGATTTGTCCCCACAAGCAGCAGGAGCCCAAGAGAAAGAAGATCTTTTTCTTTGTGAAGGAAAATGAGTGACCTCATCCATTACGTAGGAAAAATCTGTGTGCAGGTGACCCTTCTCCACAAATACCAGGAACATTCACCTCTTTGAATAATTCATTTGTTTTTTATTCATGGAGGGTAGGTCAGCAATTCTTCAAAGCTCAGGCCAATACAATTTATAAAGCATAACATTTTTATAATAGCTGCAGGTTCCTTTTGGGGGATACAGGTCTTTAAGGGGGAAAACCCCCTCCTGTCAGGGAGTTGTGCAGAGCCAGAAGGTCACCCCTGAGCCTCCTTTTCCCCAGGCTGAGCCCCTTTCCCAGCTCCTTCAGCTGCTCTCAAACACAAAAACATCACGGGGGGGATCAGGGTTCCTTTTCCCCTAGGTAATCACAGGATTTTGGGAGAAGCTTGGTTTTCATCAATTCTTGGCTGTGAAGATGGGGATGCCCTGGTTGCCCAGAGCAGCTGTGGCTGCCCCTGCATCCCTGGAAGTGTCCAAGGCCAGGCTGGACGGAGCTTGGAGCAACCTGGGATAGGGGAAGCTGTCCCTGCCCATGAACTTCAGAACAGATGAACCTTAACTCCTCCCAACCCAAAATCATTCTGGCATTCTATGGCTCCTAATGCTTCCCATCATAAGTCTGGACTCTTGGAGGACACCTGACTTCCAGGTTTCAATATTCAGCATTCCCAACCTCTCAGCTCTGAGTTAAGGGCTAAAACAATTCTGATTTTACTGGCCGCAGCAGCTGCTGGAAGTTCAGCGTTAGTGAGAATTTGGGCTGTGAATAGTTTACAGCATTGGGAGGTGTGGCAAGGGGAGAAATTGGGATTTCAGCTGAGCAGAGCTCTTTGTCAGGAGAGGGAATTGAGATGGCAGTGCTCTGGCACGAGACACCTGCCCCAGAGCCCGAGTTTAACACCGGGGGAAGGACACTTATCTCCCCAAACAGGCAGCAGCCACAAGTGCTGCTGCAGCATCCTCAGGGAAGAGGCAGGAAGGGGAATTAAAGCTGACACACAATTAGAATAGAGTTTGCAAGTCCTCCTGGAATCCTGGGGAAAGCAAATGGAAATCAGGCAGAAGCTATTTCTAGGCTGAATTTAGGGCTGAAAGAAGCAGAAATAGGCTTTCGCTAAGGACTAAATCCAAACCCTCCTAAGAATCCAAATTTAGTGTTTAAGGCTCCCAGTGCCTGTGTGCCAGCCTGGCTGCACAAGGGAAGGAAATACAAATATCATCAGGAGAGACTGGCGGCGATTAGCCGGGGTAAAGCTGAGGAGCTGTGCCCGACTCCCAGCTCCGGGAATACCGGGAATCTTCGTGCAGCTGAGGGCAGGCTGAGGGGCTCAGCACCTCTGGGAAATGTTATCTCTGAGGAGGAGCCTGCCTTATCTCGTTCCCATCGCACTTGTGCAGGTGACAGCATCAGCCAGCAGGTGCTGAACTCATCCACGGCCAGGGGGCGGCGAGAGGGGAAAGGACCGCAGGGAAGCGGGAGCAGGAATGAATTCTGCAGTCTCAGGCAGGCAGGAGCGGCGGTGATCCCAGGAGAGCATCCCCAGCCCCGCGGGGCCCTGCAAGCACACAAAGAGCGGCTGATCCCACCGGGAATGCGGCGGAGCCGGGAGCGTGCGGGGATGGGCGCTGCAGCAGTCACATCCCAGTAGCAGGAACGGGGAGCAGCGAGGTCGGAGCTTCCCTGCTCCTCCTCCTCTTCTTCCTCCTCCTCCGTGCCGGGAGGCAGCGGGAGCACTCGAGGTCTCCCAGCCCCAGCACTGCCACGGCACCTCCCGCTCCTTCCAGATAATCAGACGAAACCAAACCGTGTCTGTGTTGGAATGCACAACTCTACTCTTTTCCCAAAGTTTTTCGCCTCAAAGAATCTTTAGGTAAAGGAGTAGCTGCTGCCGTGTCCCTGTCAGGGGAATGTCACAGCTCCGAACGCCGTCCCTGCACGGGGTCAGCCCAGGACACGGCAAGGAACCTTCAACTGCCTTCCGAGAGGACTCTCCACCTCTGAGGGACATTTCTGTCATCACTCAAGCCTGTCACCCCCGGGAAGCCACCACAGCCTGTTTGTCACCGAGGTTCTGGTTCCAACCACCGCCCCCGGGACAGAGCGAGTGAGTTTCCAGCTAACGCTGCAACAAGGTCACTGCTTCCCAGCCAGCAGCCCAGGAAGATCCCTGCCTGCTCACCCTGGAAATGTGAGGGTTAAATGCCCTTCACAGTGAATTCTGAGCTCTCACCCAGCCATCCCCCTGGGAATGGCTTTGGAAAGGGGCTCTGGAAACCCACCTAGAAGAGCTTCTCGTAGCACTTGTCACAGTGGACAATGTCCCGGTGGATGAATATTTTATCCAGGAGCTCTCCCATCGCTTTGTGGCAAATTCCACACTGCCAAAGGGAAAACAAGGAGGTTGGGCAATGACCAAAACCCCACGCAGGAACAGCACAAGGGAGGGGACAGAGGTCTCTGCATCATTTTATTAAGGGGTGAGGATGCAACCTTTGAGGCTGCACTTTCCTACAACAGCCAAATGTCCCTGCAGGCCTCTTCCTCCCACACTCCCCATCCCTCTTCCTCCCACCCTGCCCACATCCCCGCACACTTTCCTTGGAAACCCTGCAGGGTTTGAGGATTCAGCCGCCTCCACTAGAGCACAAAGACCACAAAGCAGCAAGTCTGCCCCAAGGACACTGGGGCATGGACATGAGGCTGTTCTGAGGGTGCTGCCAATAACAAAGAATTCTCCTTGTTCTAACATTTATTCAAAGACCTGAAAAACCTTCTGGGGACACCTGTGGCCGCCTGACTCTTTTTGTCCCAGTGTGAGGTAAGGATTTGGCACACCCCACGTATATCCCTCTGAAAGCCTGGGGATGGAATTTGCAGGAAGATCCCTGCTCCCAGCCCCACCATTCCCAGCAGCACAGGCACTGGAGCTCACCCTGAAGCAGTACTCGTGGCAGTGGATGTTCAGGTGCTCGATGATGATCTTGGGGCAGTCTCGGATCTCCCGGCTGCAGTAACTGCACAGGGGCTCACTGGACCTGGGAAGAACAGGGCACTGGGTTCCTCTGTGGTGTTCTGCTTCTAGTCCCAGCCCTGCTGCCAGGGCTTTATCCCAGCCATCAGCACTGCTGTCCATGAGCAGCCTGCTCCCACACGTGGGACTGTGTGAGTGACAGAGCAGGGGACTGTGCTGTCCCAGGGGTGCAGAGACCACAGCAGTGGGGCAGGACAGATCTCAGAATCCTGAGATTCCACAGTTGTGGAATCGTGGAATGGTTTGGGTCGGAAGGGACTGTAAAGCTCATCCAGTCCCACCCTCTGCCACGGCAGGGACACCTCCCACTGTCCCAGGCTGCTCCCAGCCCCATCCAGCCTGGCCTTGGGCACTGCCAGGGATCCAGGGACAGCCCCAGCTGCTCTGGGCACCTGTGCCAGGGCCTGCCCACCCTGCCAGGGAACAATTCCTGCCCAATATCCCATCCATCCCTGCCCTCAGTTGGTGAGAAGACATTCTCTTTTGTCCTGTCACTCCAGGCCCTTGGAAACAATCCCTTTCCATTCTTCTTGCGGGCTCCCTTCAGGCACTGGACAGCCACAATTAGGTTACCACAAAGCTTCTCAGCTCCAGGCTGAACAATCCCAATTCTCTCAGCCTTTCCTCACAGGAGAGGTGCTCCATCCCTCTCATCACCTTGGTGGCCTGCTCTGGACTCTGACTTGGAGCCCACCTGGCTGTATTTCCATTTATTGTGCTGCTGTTCCACCAAACACACCCCAGTGTCCTCAAAAAGCAAACCCTTAAAATCATTTCTGATTGAGAATCGGATGAACCCCGCAAGGCAGCCCCGCCCTGTCCTACCTGTGCAGGGGAGCACTGGACAGGTAACTGTGGTGGCTGTAGCTGCTTCTCTCCAGGTCACTCAAATCCACAAGGCTGCGGAATGAAGGAGGGAAATATCAGCTCTTGGCAGTGCTTTGTGGGAAGAGAACCTCAGAGAATCATAATCCAATGATTTGGAATATCCTGGCTACCTGTTCCTTGGGGAGAAGGTCCTCAAAGTGCCTTCCCAGGACACAAAGAGGAACCACTAAGTACCCCCAGAGGGGACTCTCCAGGCAAAACTCTGGCCTCACCAAATGTTTACATAATAAAAATAAAAACAATAAATAAATAATAATAATAAAATAAATAAATAAGCAATGTTTACATTTGGCCCCTACAAATAGCAGCTTCTCACTGCTGCAGCTCCAAATCCTGCACTGTTATGCAGGGAAAGGCACAGAGCACATCCTTGGTCTCATCCCTCATCCAGCTGAGCGTTCCCTCTCTGCCTGAGGTTCCTGGATATTTGGTTTATCTTTGGCTGCTGACAGCGGCTTTGCTGAGCTCTGGGACAGGCTGGAGATTTACAGAGTGTCATCAGCTCCTGCAGGGATGTCAGCCCAGCGCTGAGGGAGGAAAACGCCTGCAGGGAGCACCAAACTGGTGTGAACTGGTGCCACATCACCGTGAGGATGATGTGCACGGGGGTCTTGTCACGCTGGGGCTGGTTTGGAGCAGCTTCACCAGAGCAGAACACAAAGGACTGAAGATTTAAGCTTGAAAATGGTGCCACTTCATTTTTTTTAACTCATACAATGAAGCTTTTCCAGTGAGAGCCCTCACCCTCCACATTCTCCTCTCGCACTCCAATCATTTGGTTACAGGTGTCTCCCAGTGCCAAACCTGCAGCGTGGTGCTCCCATCCACCCCAGAGACACTAAGCCACTCCAGGAGGAGCTTCCCTGTCCCCTGGGAGCAGTGGGACACAGTTCTGCTGCCACCAGCACAGCGGGAGGAGAGCACAGAGCCCTCCCAACACCCGCCCGGGCCCGATCAGCTGCAGCTGCCCCATCCTGCTGGGTGAGCACCTCTCCCTGTGCCGGGCTGGCACACGGCCGGGACACGCGGCGGGGACACGGGAGGGGACACGGGAGGGGACACGGGAGGGGACACGGGAGGGGACACGGCTGTCCCACCCGGCAATGCCACGGGAGGTGACACGGCTGTCCCACGGCTGTCCCACCCGGAGGTGACACGGGAGGTGACACGGCTGTCCCCAGCGCTCCGTACCTGCCGTGGCGCGGCGAGGCTGCAAAGCCGCCCGTGTTCACGTACTCCTTGACAAAGAGGATCCCTCTCCTGGGAAAACGGGAATCATTTGCATGAGAAAAGAGCGGCTGGGGCTCGGCAGAGCCGGGCAGGGCTCGGGAGTGCCCCCGGACACGGAACGCGTGCGGGAGAGGCTCGGAACGGGATGCTGTTGTTCCCCAATAAATCCTGCCTATTGTTGCTAAATAACAACTCCTCTAATTACCCCAGCAAAACAAATCGAGTTAATTGGAAAGAATGGGATGGATAATGTAACCCTTTCATCCAGTCAGGGGTTTGAGGGATAAATCTTTCCCAGCTCCCGTCAGGATTAGGCGCACAATGGGCACGGGGAGAGCTCCCAGCTCCCCCGATCCACCGAGCCCTGTGGCACAGCGCTGCTTCCAGGGGCTGTTCCGCCTCTGGAGTATCTCCAGTGATTTCAGACACTGCTGGCTGGTTGGGGATGTTTTTATACCTCCCTTGCATATTCCTGCCTCTTTCCAATCCCAGCTGCAGAATTTCATGCCCCATCCCTGCTCCAAGGGGAGCCCTGTGCCCCCCACCCTCTGCCTGCAGCTCTGACAGGAATTAATCAGCCTTTTCCATTTCCATGGTGCATTTCCACTGCTGCCTAAAAGCTGGGATTAATCCTCCCTTCTTACACTAAGCCCTGTCATGGCTAAGGAAAGAAACCTCTTTTTCTTTTTACTTAAACTGAGCCCGGGCTCTTTCTACATCATGGAATCATTAATCTTGACAAAGACCTTTAACATCATCATGGTGCCACCACCATGGTCACCACCAAACCACTTTCCCAAGTGTCACATCCACACATTTTCTGAACACTTCCACCACCAACCTCAATTCCCCTGGCCCATCCTGAGGCCGTTCCCTCTCCTCCTGTCCCTGTTCCCTGGGAGCAGAGCCCAACCCTCCCCGGCTGTCCCCTCCTGGCAGGGAGTTGTGCAGAGCCAGAAATTCCCCCTGAGCCTCCTTTGCTCCAGGCTGAGCCCCTTTCTGAGATCCCTCAGGAATTCTCCACCCTCTTTCCAGCTCTGCTCCCTTCCCTGGCTCCAGCCCCTCAGGGTCTGCCTTGTCCAGAAGTGACCCCGGGATTCCACATGGAACCACCTCAGCAGTGCCCAGCACAGGGGGACAATCACTGCCCTGACCCTGCTGGCCGCAGTGGGTGACACCAGGCAGGTGCCAAAGCTGGAATTCCTCACCAGGCAGGATGTCCCCACCCTGCAGTGAGGGCATTGTGCCCCCTTGGTTGTTTACCCGGCAGTGCTGGAGTCAGGCTGGTACCCAGAGCTGTGGTGGGAGCTGCAGAGCCTCTCACTGGAACTGGAGAGGAGCCTGTGGAGAGAGGGAAAATTCTGTGAGCCACGGCAGGATCCAAGCTGGCAGCCAGGAGAGGAGCGGCTGCCACTGCTGGGAGGGCAGATGGACAGCACAGCCCTTTGCCAGACCTTATCATGGACCAAACCAATCCCTTTCTCCTTCTACATCTGCCACAGGACAGGATTGCTTCCCTGGAGAAGGGATTTGGGGAAATCTCACTTGTGGGGCCATGAGACAGAAGATCCAACGAGATCTTCCAGTGAAGATGGGCTGAGTGAGTGGGAGCCTGACTGGGAGCAGCCACAGGGAGAACAGGCACAGGAGGAATTGCAGGAGATGGGAACATTCCCAAAGCCAGTGGACCTGTCCCCATGGAAAACAGCTCTGTCTATCCGCTCAGCAATGAGACCTGGAGTGAGGCTGACCTTTCCTGGAGCCAATCCAAGGATCTTGTGCCCCCTCTTCACCCCCAGAACTACTGATTGTTACAGATCCAGCCCTCAGCCTTGCTCTGGTGGCTGCATGGAGCATCAGACAGCACATGGGCGGGCTGGCACTGCCAGGAGGGACTGCAGGATAATGGTATTCCACACTGGACACCTCCTGCCCCTTCCATCAGCCTTGTCCTGGGAGCAGTTCTGTCATTTAACCATTGACATTCTGGGGACAGGGACTCTCTCGCTGTTTTCCTGTAGTAAAGACCAACAACCAGCTCCCCATTCTCCTGTTCCTCTCTTCTGGCTTCCCACACAGTGAAAAATCTCCAGGGATTTTTCTGGATGTATCCCAGATCCTCTGCTAGGCAGCTTTAGCTAGGAATGGTTTAAGAGCTGGTCTGTGCCTCTGGATCATGAATCCACTCCCTGGAAACCAATCCTCCCTCTCTCAGCTCTTTGGCTTTGCCTGCTGGCTCCTATTCCATAAATTTCTGGGAAGTTTCCCTCGGAGCCCTGGTGACTCCCCGTTTACCTGGTGCTGTTACAGTTTAAGCTGTCCATGTAGAACGGCACCCTGTGGCTTCTCTGGGACATGGACATGGTGGGATCCCTGGGAAGGGACTCGTGGCTGGGGAGAGGAAGTGGAACAGTCTCAAGCTCTGAGTTTGGGCAGCTGAGGGATCCTCACACGGGGTGGGAATCTGGGCTGGAATCTCCCTGCTGGGCACTGACCCCTCCCAGCCAACACCTGCTCACTCCCAGGGAATCAGCACGTGGATCAGGACACCTGGATGGAAGTGTGGCAGTGGGAAGTTCCTTGGTTTGGGAATCTGGGATCCCAGCCCTGCACTCACCGTCCTGCAGGGGGGCTGAAGTCCCCGTGCCCCCTGGCACCGTCATACCAGCTGCTCCTGGGGCTGCTGCTCCCGGGAAAAGCGCTCCCTCTGGGATCGGGGCTGGGCCTGCTGAGGAGACACAAAGCCCTGAGCAGCAGGAATCTCTGCAGTCCCCACGCTGGGCTCACAGTCACTGCCGGGGCTCTGGCACCCAGGGAATGTGTGGATGTGAGGCTGTGGCTTGGTGGCGAGCATGTGACAGCACTGGATTGACAGCTGATGGTCACAGAGGCCTTTCCCAGCCACGAGAACTCCATGATTGCATCATTTCCCCATGCTCTGCTCTCTGTGCCGGTTCTGTGCTCCACAGGGAGAGCAGGCTCCAAACCCAGCACCTGAGCAAAGCCAAAGCATTCCCAAACGGATTGCCTGGAGAAGCTGTGGCTGCCCCATTCCTGGAAGTGTCCAAGGCCAGGCTGGATGGGGCTTGGAGCAGCCTGGGATAGTGGAAGGTGTCCCATGCCAGCAGCTTTCCCTGTCTGCATCCCAAACCCTCACTCCCAAACCCTCACTCCCAAACCCTCACCCCCAAACCCTCACCCCCAAACCCTTCACCCCCAAACCCTCACCTCCTGGTGCTGAGCATCTGGCTGTCCACGTAGCCTGGAATCCTGTGGCTGGGCACGGAGCCTCCGAAGGACTGGCAGTCCTGGAACAGGGACACGGGGGGCTGGGACTCCTGGGAACCAGGAACGCTCTCCTGGGAGCTGAACTCAGACCTGCTGAGGAATTAAAACCAGTTTGACCATAAATCCAAGGGGAGTCTTTGCTCTGAGCAGCTCACATGAGTGTCCAGGGTCTGCTGAGGGTGGATCCTGCCCCTGGGAGAACTGGGACACCACAGGTTAACAGAATCACAGGACGAGGGAATTCCAGAATCCCAGAGTGGTTTGGGTTGGGAGGCACCTCCAAGTTCATCCCAATTCCACCCCTGCCATGGGCAGGGATATCTCCCACTGTCCCAGGCTGCCCCAATCCCCAGTGTCCAGCCTGGCCTTGGGCACTGCCAGGGATCTGCTCTGGGCACCTGTGCCAGGGGCTGCCCACCCTCAGGGGAACAATTCCCTCCCAGAACTCCTGTGGTCAGTGCTATTGGATTGGGCAAATTCCCTGGCTCCCTGCTTCAGCCAGGAGTGTTCCAAGGAGCGAAGGATGAGGCTGAGAGCCACTTGTGGCACCACCACAGGGAGGTCCCCAGCGTACCTGGCTGGCCCCGGGGTGGGCTCGCTGTGCCTCCAGTCCCCCAGGCTCTCACGGGGGCTGTCTGTGCTGGCACTGGGTTGTCCCTCATAGTCCAGAGTGATCCTGGTGGGGAGGAAAGAGCTGTCAGGAGCTCCAGCACCTGCATGTGACCCTGCCCACTGTGGGGGTAAGTGCAGGATCACTGTGCCTGTCACAGCACCAGTGTCAGGGTGCTTTAGCTTGGGAGGGACCTTAAAACTCATCTGGTGCCACCCCTGCCATGGCAGGGACACCTCCCACTGTCCCAGGTGCTCCAAGCCCCATCCAGCCTGGCCTTGGACATTCCAGGGATCCAGGGACAGCCCCAGCTGCTCTGGGCACCTGTGCCAGGGCCTGCCCACCCTGCCAGGGAACAATTCCTGCCCAATATCCCATCTAACACTGGGGAAGCCATTCCCTGTGTCCTGTCCCTCCATCCCTTGTCCCCAGTCCCTCTCCAGCTCTCCTGGAGCCCCTTCAGGTCCTGGCAGGAGCTCTGAGCTCTCCCTGGATCCTTCTCCTCTCCAGGTGAACATTCCCAGCTCTCCCAGGCTGGCTCCAGAGGGGCTCCAGCCTTGGAGCAGCTCTGTGGCTCCTCTGGGCTCTCTCCAGCAGCTCCACATCCTCCTGATGCTGAGCTGCAACAATTCCTGTGGGAGATCCCTGCAGTGCTCTGCTCCTTCCAGGGTGAAAGGTGGCACTGGCAGAGTCTGTACTGGCTCCTGAATTCCCTAAGCCAGGAAATGAGCATTTGGATGCCTTGGGACAGGCCAGGAAGGAGAGCTGGAGGTGTGTGAGGGATGTCCTGGTGGCCCAGCTCCGTACCTGTCCCTGCGTGGCTCAGACTCGTTGCCATGTGGAATCTCTGGAGCTGGGACGCTGCTTCCTGCAGGAACAGAGCTCAACCTGCCAAGACATGAGAGCTTTATGTTCTGTGGAAGCACCCTGAGCACAGAATTCCTGTGGGATGGAGATGCAGCCCCTGGAGAATCTCCTGCCTCAAGGGGAAAAAATAAAAAAGTCCAATATCCCTGCACGGAAATGTTCCAGATAGAATCGTGGAATCACGGAATTGTTTAGGTTGGAAAAGCCCTTTAAGATCATCAAATGCATCCACCCAGCACTAACCCAAGTCCTCAAATAACCCAAAGGGATGTGAAAAAACCCAGATGGAAAATCCAGGCCTCTTAAGAAACAGAGCTGAAAGGAAGGACCCCAACCACGGCACCTTTAGTGCCTCCCCCAGAGCTCCCTGCACCAAATTCCCCACCAGGAAAAGCAGCCCCATTATTTCTCTTGCCTTCCTGCCGTGGTTTCCTCCCTCTGCACGCAGGATGACATTCCCACATCCCTGTCCCTGCTGCCAGCAGTGTCCTGGGAGCACAGCTCAGACCTGGGGAGAGGAACACTCTGGTCACCCCCTGACTCCAAGGTGCTCTCACTGACACACCTGGGAGGGAGCCCAGTTTCACCAAGAGCCTCAGCTCTTCCAATTCAGGTGGAAAATATGGACAAAAGAAAGGAAACCAGTCCATAAAGTCCTTCCATGTGCACACCCAGCCCTGAGTGGGGAAGTTCAAAACCAGACCATGATGTCTAATGCCAAATTTTGTTGCTCTCCCTTTATTTATCTCTCCCTAGAGACCCAAATTTAAAGTCTAGGAAGCAGCTCCAGCTGGACAGGATTTGATGGCTCCAGCCAAGGAGGATATTTCCTCCCAGATTTTCCTGTAAAACCGTGGTGAAAGGTTCATCCAGCAGAAGCAGCACTAGAATCAGGCACAAAAAGGTCGCAGGTTGCACTAGGGGAGGCTTAGGTTGGATATTGGGAAAAAATTCTGCATGGAAAGGATTGTAAAGGCCTGGAAACGTTCAGGAAATGTGTGGATGTGGCACCTGGGGACATGAATTGGTGCTGAACATGGTGATGGTGCTGGCTGACCCTTGGACTTGATCCCAAAGGTCTTTTCCAGCTTCAACAATTCCTTGTTCTATGGAAAGGAGAACCTGGGGGGATATTTATCAGCAGGGGATGAGATGCCCAAGGAATGACCCTCATCCCACAGGAGAAGCTGGGGGGAATATCCCATTCCTTACCCGGCCCTGCTGGGCTCAGTGGGATCCTTCAGCCTGGGGGGCTCTGGGGGGGCGTCATGGCCAGGAGCTCCTTGGCCCCTCTCACTGAGGCTGGATGAGTGCAGGAACCTAAACCAGAGAGCCAGGAGTGGGAAAATCCATGCTGGGATGGGCAGACACCCATTCCCTGGAGAGGAGCGGGCTGGGAGCAGCTGGAGAGCCATTCCAAACATCCCAAATCACCAGTCCCAAACCTCCCAGTCCCCCCAGTGCTCACCTTGTCTCATCCCAGTAGGGCTGGTGGTGGGATGGGCCCTCAGGATTCGTGGAGCTGCTCCTCTCCTCATAGCCCAGGACAGACCTGGAAAGCAACACCCATCACATCCCTAAAAAGTGGATCCTGGCCCTGCTCTGCTTTTCTCCAGGACTCTCCATGACCCTGGATCCAGCTGCTTCCAGCTCCGTGCTGCTGCTGCTGCAGCATCCCTGGATTATCTCGGAATGAAAAGGGACTGACTGAATCCCACGGAGAACACGAGGGGAGGAAAAACCTGTCTGGTCTCAAAGGAGATGGAGGGGGATACAACACAAAGCTCTTGGTTTATTTCAGTTTCAGTTGTCTCCATCCTTGGGATAAAAGCGGGATGAGGAGCCTCTTTCTGTGCCTGCCCATTCAGGTTTCCCTTAATCCTCAGGATTATTCCTGCACCCATTAAATTCACCCCACTCTTACCTTTTAAAGGAATATTCTGTGTCCTCGATGTGCACAGGGGTTCTCTCAGTGGGACGAAAAGGGACATCAGACTGCAAGGGTGACCTGGCAAAAAAAAACCAGGGAATTTAGAGCTTCCAAAAGTTCCCAGGGGATCTGTATGGAACAGCAACGCTGCACTTTGTATCAGCCCAGGAAACAGGAAAGAAGTGTCTAAGAGAACTGATTTTCCCTCAGAAAAAAACATTTTCCATCCTAACCAAGAGGAGGAGAGGCTGGTGGGGGAACTGGGGTGATTACTGGGATTCAATTCCCACACATCTCCATACAGGAATTTCCTGTCCTGTCCCAGGATGGAGCACCTGGACAAAGCACAACATGGATGACTTTGGAGAAGACATTCCCACATCCCCAGCAGCAGCTCCAGGCAGTGGCACCCTCCTCACCTCAGCTCAGGGGGCTGAATTCATTTCCTAGGATCCAGGAATCATGGAATGGTTTGGGTTGGAAGGACCTTAAAGCCCATCCAGTGCCACCCCTGCCATGGGCAGGGACACCTTCCACTATCCCAAGCTGCTCTGAGCCCCAGTGTCCAACCTGGCCCTGAAATCTGCTCACCTCAAGGCCTTTGTTGTGCCAAGACATGGAAATGAATCCCAGAATAATGGACAAGGGAGGGAAGCAGCTCCAGGGAGCTCAGTGCTGCCAACAGCAGCAATTCCCCCCTGACCCCCCACCTCTGGCAATGCCAGGGGACCAAAGGCTCTAAAACCGTGTGGGATGGAGGCACTAAAGGCAGTGCTGAAGCTGCTGGATCTGCTCCCAGAGCCCCTGAGGCTGGAAAACCCCTCTGGCATCATCAAATCCAAGCTGTGCCCGATGCCCACCTTGTCCCCAGCCCAGAGCTCTGGGTGCCACCTCCAGCCCTTCCTCGCACACCTCCAGGGATGGGCACTCCAACCCTCCCTGGGCAGCCCCTGCCAAGGCCTGAGAACCCTTTCCAGGAAGAAATTCCTCCTGAATTCTGCTCCTCTGGGAAGAAGTTGTGTAACAGTGAATGGAAGATGCCGTTCCCGCTGTTTACCCACGCAGGATTTTCCTTTCCCAGCTGCTTTGTTGCCCAGTTTGGATCCTAATCCCAGCTCTGCTCTGGACAGGTTGTTTATTCCCAGCCCAGCTCCCTCTGGAAGCAGAGGGTGCCAGCCCCAGCCCCCGTGCAGGGTCACACCTGGTGTCACCCAGGGAGGGCTCGGATGGACGGAGCAGCTTCTCCGGAGCATCCCCAGCTCTGTCCCAGGAACCAGAGCTGCACCTGCGAGAGAAGGGGGTTGGTCCCAGCAGGAAGCTCAGCAAGAGGAGGACACCAAGGAGGAAGAACATCCACCATGAGGTTTTCCTGGCTCTGGTGGAACAGCTTTTCCTCCCTCCTGCTTAGCTCTGGGAATTTCCTGAAGGGCTGAGCCCCAAATCCAACCCGCTCGTCCTCGTGTGAGGAAAGCAGCTGGAAGATCCCAGGCCTTTGGAGTTCCTGGGTCAGACCCACAGGGCAGTCCCAGGTCAGGAGAAACACCCCCAGCCCTAAAATGAAGGAGAAAAAGGGAATTTTCCACTTACTCTGGTGGGTAAAACCCATTATTGGCTTCTGTGTGCTCAGGAAATCTGGAAAAGAGAGACACAACTTGAGCCACGTTCTGCAGTCACTTTCCCCATGCACGTCACAGAGGAGAGAGCAGCTCTACAAAGCCCAGATGGAATCTGCTTTTCCACCAGTAAATATCCATGCCAAGATTCCAGCCAGCTCCAGAAGAGGGTTTTGTGGATTGTGCAGTGCCCAGGAATCCCACAGTGGCTCTACCTTCCATTCGTGGCTCTGGGGGTTCCTTCATCCCATGGGAACCTCTCAGGCTTTTCCTTCGGAGCTTTGTCACTAGGAAAAGGAAAATTCCAGTGAAAATGGGACCTGTCAGCCTTTGTAAGGTATCACCCTGGAGAAATGTGCAGATATTTGTTTGGGGAACACAATGGGGCTAAATGTCTCCATCAGGATGGGCAGGGCTGCATTCCCCAGGGCGCTGGGCCAGGCTGCAGGTCACGGATCACGGAACCATGGACCAGCACCAGCAGCGGCCACCAAGGACCAGCAGAGCCCTCGGAGGTGGGACAGTTCTGGGGAAGGGCAGGGGAGGCAAAGGGAGCAGCAAAATCCAAAATGCAGGGAGGAGAATCCCAGAGGAGAGGGGGAAGAGAGGAGATCTCTGGCAGGCTGCAGCTTTGCCAGCAGGTGCTGCTCTTGGAGTGCAGCCCAGGGCTGGCAGCAGCAGCAGCAGGGAGCTGCTGTTCCCCAGCAAATCCTTGGTCCAGCAGCATCCCCTGCCCATTCCTTACCCATCCCCACGCTGGGACACCGTTCCCACGGAGAGTTTCCCATCCAGGGCCTGTCTGTCCTCACCATTCCTGCAGGGAAAACAGCAGGAGCGTGAGGAAGGGAGACGAGGAGCCACAGGAGCTGCACAGAGCGGTGCTGCGAGGGAGCTACGAACAGGGCAGGAAGAGGGGAGGAAAAATCAAAGGGAAAACCATCAGCTGAGCCGATGGAAAGGGCTGCAGGTTTGGATTCACATTCCCAGCACGGAGCTGGGAAATGCTCAAACTGTGGGAAGCCCTCGGCTTCCATCTGGGAACGTTTCCTCCCGGATGGTTTTGCCCCTTGCCTGGAATTCCCTGTGTGGAGTTTGCTGTTCTGTGCTGCTCCTGGAGGATTTTGTGTCTCCAGGGGATGCCCCAGGCAGGGATGGATTCCCCATCCTGCTCTGAGGGATCCTGAGGCCACTGCAGGGCTCCACACCCACCTGACTTCAGCAGAAGTGGAGATTTTCCCCGAGGTGTCACTCAGGGATGGGGATGTTTGGCTCCTGCTGCCTGGTTTGGGGCTGCAAGGGAGGAAAAAGGACAAAATTGTCATTCCTGGTCAAAGCAGCTCCAACTGCAGCAAATCTGCCCTGCACCGGAGTGTTCCTGATGGGAATGAAGAAAATGGGAATGAATCATCATCACCCTTCTCGATCCACTCCCTGGCAAAGTCATCTTCTCAGGAGCGAGTTTTAAATTCAAAGCACTGATTTTGCCAGGAATTTCCACTTTCTGCAGTGACACACCAGTAAAAGCAGCAGGACAAGGGCAGCTGTCCTTTTGGAGCTGTTTTTTGTGCTGTTTGCAGCGAGAACTATTCCACCTTTTCTATCCTCCAGGCATGGATTCAGTCAAAAACACCAGAAAACAACAGGAAATTATTCCCTTACTCCTGTTTGGCAAGAGAGGGTTCAGCTGGAAGGGGCTTGGAGCACCCTGGGGTAGTGGAAGGTGGGACTGGATGGGCTTTAAGGTCCTTCCAATCCAAACCATCCCAGGATTCTGCATTTGGGATTTTTTCCTTTTGGGTTTTGAGCCCTTGCGTCGGGATATTGTCAGACACGGATTTCAGCCATAAAACCTTTATGGAGAGCAGTCTGCACCCAGGAAAGGTTTCCCAGGGAAAGGTGGATTTGGTTCCTCCCCTTTCCCAGAGCGGTGCCCACAGAGGTCTCTGACCTTCAGCCCAAGCTGTCCCACCCACCCTGGCTGTGCTGGAACTCTCACCTGGAGGGAGACGCTGCTGCTGCTGCCTTTGGCTCATCCCAGGAAGATCCAGGGCTGGTTTTTCTTAGCCCATTAGCACTGACAAAAAAAAAAACCCACAAAAACAATTATAAATTAATATAAAGAAATATAGTATTTTAAAATTATTTCTATTTTAGTAAATATTTTAATTTTTATCTTCTATTATTTATTCATTTATATAATAATAAATAATATAACATATACAACGTATAACAATATATAATAATTTATTGTTGCTATCATTCATATTTTATTACTTTAATTATGAATATTATTAAGAGTATATTTACATTATTGATGTAATAATATTATTGTATTTATGTTTATTATTATTTTATTATTTATATATAGAATGTATATAAACATAGACCAATAAACATAAATAAAATAATTAGAAACAAAATAATTAGAAACAAAATAATTAGAATCAAAATAATTAGAAACAAAATAACAAAAATAAAATAATTAAAAATAATTAAAAATAAAATAATCAAAAATAAAATAATCAAAAATAAAATAATCAAAAACAAATAACAAAAACAAATAACAAAAACAAATAACAAAAACAAATAACAAAAACAAATAACA